GCTCAGCGGCGACGCTAATAGAAGCATGTCATCAGCATACATTATTCCTTTATTAGCTTGTTGCTCCGTTTTGATTCTGAAAATATCCTGATTCAGTCTAATTGCAATTTCATTGCGTCTCCCAGGCAGCGAGGGCTCGGACTTGGGCGCGCGAACACCGGGCCCTGCGGGGCTTTGAAGCCGGGCAGTCAGCTCCGAGGCAGGCACCCGTCTCGGTGCCGCGGCGCAGCCGCCTCCGGGGAAACACAGGGCCTGGGGTGGCCGGCGGCGCGGAGGGCGGTGTCCTCATCCCAGGTGGTGGGAGATATTGTTCTGTATCGAAAGCCAGGGCTGCTCCTGGAACCATTCTATTCCTAAATAATTTAACTATGTTCAAAGATAATCTGATGTTATTGTAGGAGAGTGTATTTCTAATAAATTCCACTTGATCTGGGTGAATCAATTCAGGCAGCGCATAATTGAGTCTGTTAGCAAGGACTTTAGCAAGAATTTTGCAATCAGCGTTAATTAAGAAGATGGGACAATAATTCGTGCATAATTCCAGATCTCTTTCTGGCTTGTGCATCAAAGTAATAAGAGCCACACTCTGGCTGGTGGCAGGACACTGTCATTAGTCGCTGATTTATAAGTACTTAGAAAGGTTTAATTTCATTTTGCTCCGAGCAGGGGCTCCCTGCCCCCACGTCCTTTGCTCGGGGCGCGCGGCCGAGATGACAGAGAGCTTTCCCTGCCACCCTTCCCTGTCATCGTGACCCCCTGCTTCCCGCGGCTGCTCCTACCCAGCAGCGAGCACCCCCCTTGCTCGCCCGTGCCGTTCTTGATACTCTCATTGGAAGCCAGGGGCCCTGTTCGTACGTTGCGTGTGGGCCTGTGCGCATGTGTGACGTAAAGCCATTGTGCTCAGCTTCAGTGGGGACGCTTCTGCACAGAGCCTCTGCCACGCGCCCCTGGGCGGCCAGGTATCGAGGCCCCGGACTGCAAGACAGGAACATACCCAGTGAACTTGCTGCTCCTAACTGGCTGTTGAGCGGTAAGGGGACAAATGTGAGCCTTCTGTCCCGCCTGTAAAATGCAGCCACAGGATGAAACACAGGCGTCACAGGGCGCCAGGAAGGGCGCTGGGTCCCTACCCCACCCCCGCTCCAGCTGCGGGGTCTCAGGCTGCAGCTCAGCCTCTCCCAGCCCCAGTCAGCCCCTTGGGGACATGCGCTGACTCTGGGTCCTCACCACACTCAGCGCTGGTTCCCATTCTCACACACCCTGCTCCGGGGCCTTACCCTCTCTAGCAGTCGGGACAGGGCCGGCCCCGGTCACCTTGCTGCTTGGGTGGCACCTTCCAGCTCCTAGACCAGCCGCCTGCCAGCCTGCGGGCAAGGCCTGCTGCGCCCACGGGCTCCCTTTGGAGCGGGCGGTCTGCAGGGGCGGTGAGAGGAGGCGCCGTGCCCCAGGGCCGCGGGGCGGCCAGCCTCTGTGCACGGCCACACTGTGGGTCCCAGAGCCCCGGTGGGTCCGTTTTGCCAAGACCCTGAAAGGTGGCCCGTTTTCCTCAGTGAGGAAGTTAAGGTTCAGAGAGACGGACTGACAGGTTCAAGGCCACACAGGCAATGGCAGAACCAAGGCAGGAACCCGGTCCCCCTGCAGCTGTGGCGCTGCTGCGCCCATCACGCCCCCCGCCCCCGAGGCACCGGCAGAGCGCGATCTACTCTCAGGTTTCAGGGGGCCCCCTAAGGCAGGGGCTGCGCCCATCTGGCCGACACCCAGCGATCCGCCCTGCCCTGGGGGCAGATCCTCTCCACGGACGGCTGGGGACAGTGGCTGCGGCCCTCCCCTCGGGGCGCACTCAGCATCCAGCCTCAGCGGCGGCGCTGGTCGCACGAAGTCCAATACCGAGTCTTGGTGGGCAGACACGTGTCCGGCACGTGTTCATCCAGCGCGCCCCCCGCCCCCCCACGTATGCCCCGCCCCCTCACGCCCCGCCCCACCTCCGCTCGCGGCTGGGTGGAATCTCCTAATAAAAACCCAATTAGTAGTTCTTTAACTTGCCTCCAGATGCTTAAATGCCATTCCCCCAAACACGACAGAATGCCCCTGGTTTTCCATTTCAATCAAGAATTCAAGTAGCATCTTGACTTGTATATAATATATCAGCAGCAGAATCACGAGATGCTGACATCCTTAATAATGGCAATTAGCAATCAGTTGTTCCTTAAGTAGTTTGATTACACCAGTTGCCAAATTGTACTGTGATGCATTTGGGGGCAGGACGGGCCTCGCCCCCCCTCCCCAGCACGTCCTTTCTGCGTCCCTGAGTTGTAGGTGGTGGCTGAGCTGATCGATAGACATTAGAAAGAGGCAAGGACACATAAGGTGACTGTCGTGAACACTACGCAGCGGAGAGCTGACTCTGGCAGGAAGGGGAGGTGGAGGTTTCTTTGCAGAAGGGCCAGCCCCAGGAGAGTCTGTGGACAGGCCGTCGTGCCCGCCCGCTGAGTGACAGCCAAGGAGCGCGGCCCGCCCACGCCTGGCAGGCACCCAGGGTCTGAGCGCCTCCCCAGGACGAAGGCCCCATGCCAGGAGCTGGAGGCCGACAAGGATGAGGCGGGGCCCTTGCCCTTGAGGAGGTTGTACCTGGCTGTGAAATACTCAGTGGGTATAGAAATGAGCCCAGCAAGGCCACGTGTTTCAGTGACTAACGGGGATTGAGCCGGGGTTAGATCGTGGCATCGAACTGGCAGGCTGAATGCCCGGTAGAGGCTTCCTGGCCCTTCCCAGCATCCTGCGGGGCACCCCAAGTCTGACCTGCGGGAGAGCAGGTGGCTTCGCCGGGACAGAGGTGAGCTGCGTCTGCGGGCGACTCCTGAGGGAGGGCCCTTCTCCTGCCTCATGCCTGCCGCCGGCCGAGCAAGGGCGGGTCCGCTCCGCACTTTGTCTCATGAGCGGCGGGGGGTTGTGTTTTTGAGTTGCACATGTGCACCTGAGGGAATTCTCCAGAAAAAGCTGTTCCCACCATTTTCTCACCTGGTGCCTCTTTTTCCCGGTGCTTTTATTGTGGTGCTGATGGGGATACACTGAAATTAAGTATCATTATTTCCTATTTTGTTTGGTGGGAGCGAGCAGTTCAGAGACCACCGGTCCCTTTGCGTTCATGTTGTCAAGCAGAGAGAACTTCTATTTTCTTTGCTTTTTTTTGCAAATTGTCATCTTCTGAAAAATGCCCAGAATTCTGTCAACCAGGTTGTCCTCGGGATGGAAAACGTTTCCTCCCCCGTGTCCCAGAATGCTTGTCTCCGCGTGGTGCTCAACTCTTGCCCCTCCTGGCCAGGGTGGGCGCCCCCCGCGCTGGCCCCTCGCCGGCTGCCACATCCCTTTGCCTTCCTATTCCACCTGCCGAGCGTTTGACACTTTACAGCGTCCATGCCCGCTGCGGGCTGCATTCCAAGGCATCGCCTTAAGTCTGGTTACTCTCCAAACCTTTGAAGACGCCGCTTCTGTGCCTGAATCCAAGCACCTCTTGTCCTGGAGTCAAGGGACAGTCCCCAGGGACTCAGTGGGGCTCGGGCCTGGGTGGACAGAGCTAAGGCCGGGAACAAGGCCTGTTGGTCTTTGTTTGGGATCATTCGTGACTCTTGGGCCTCACCCAGCCATCGGGAAGATCAGAAAAAGAGGACGCAGGAGGCAGGCTCTCTCTGAGCCTCACACAGCAGCTTTGCCGAGACCTCGGGGTGGGGCCCCCGGGGGCTCTGCCCTCCGCTTGCTCTCTTCATCGCCTCAGAGCTTGGTCACGTGCAACGACGCCCCATGCACGTCCCCTTTTGGTGCACTTCCTGCATGTGTGCACGTATGTTTTATGCATGTGTACACGTGTGTGCGCACATGGGTGAGTTTCTGTGTTTGCACACCTGTATGTGTGAGCGTGTGCAGGCATGCACGTGTGTGTTGGGAGGGCGTCCGTTCAGTGGGTAGAGAGGGGCCCTGGAGCCACCGAGGGGTGGTGGAGGGCGTCTGCCCAGCTAGAAAATAGCACGATGCAAGTAAAGGTGACTCTCGGGTCAGAGAAATATTTTCAGCAAATACGACGAAGTGATTTTATGTATATGTTATGTTTAGAAGTCTTACAAAAATGACACAAAGAAACAGGAGGTCCCGCCCAAGGGCCTGACCAGGGAAGCCGCGCATGGAGAGGCCCACACAGGAAGGCGGGCCTGTGGGCAGGGCCTCGGCCACACGGGGAAGGAAGGACGGAGGAGCAGGCGGTGGGGGTGACCGAGGCACACGTTGCGCGGGGCGGGGGACACCCACGCTCACCGCCAGCAGCGTCAGGGCAGCCGAGACACGCGGACTCTCGGTGGGAGGAATCAGAAACCCTCTCAGAAACAATTCGGGAAGTTTCCGAGCCTTGTTCCTGTAATACAGCTCTCAGGAACTCATCCTAAGCATATCGCCCGAATAAGAACAAGCCCTATGAATGCTAATAAAGACGCTAATTACACTGTTATTGATAGCAGCAACAGAGGAAACATAGATTCCCCTCTTGCAGTTGTTCGGTTTAAGTATTTTGTGATTAATCAGCTCAATAGGCGATTGAAACTACGACAACCATGAAGCAACATGGCAGATACTTCAAGTCCAGTAACGCAGTGGAGCAGAACACAAAACTGTACCCGCGACGCGGTTCTACGGAGAGGAGGAAGCATGCAGAGGGACCAGCCCGGGACCACGCGGCGAGGGAGCCCAGGCACTGCGGTGGCGCCCGGGGTGCGTTTCCCCCTTTTTGTATGACACTGAAGCCGGTGCCCCGTAAACACATGGGCACCCCCAGCCTGCACAGCCTGGCGCACGCCGACCCCTGAGGGTCCGGCCGCCGGCCCGCACCCGCCACCTTTTCCTCCGCCGTCCTCCCCCCTCCCCCCTCCCGGACTGGGCGCTCGCCGGCCGCCCGCACACGTGACGAGTTACTTAGAGTTGCACACCGGAGGGTCGCCGTCGTTACCTACGAGCACCCCGGGCGGCAGCTGCGCGGAGGGGTCTTTCAGCCAGTCGTCGTTGGCCAGCTCTATCACGGCGTCCACGGGCTGGACTCGAGCGCAGACCAGGTCTTGCAGGGCCTCGTCGTCCCCGGCTTCCAGTGCCGACTTTAACCTCTTCACCACATCTGAGCTGAGCGGGTAGTCGGGAAGGCGGTCTGAGCTGGACATTGTAAAGCCCTGCGTGTGCTGACCAAACGTCTGTTCTTCTCCACCGAGTCCCGAGTGAGCAGCTGTGCCGGGCGCGGCGGGGGATGCTATATATAGAAGGAACGGGCTTGAGTTACCGCCTGGCACCAGCCCTCCCTGGCCCGCTTCCCCCCGAGAAGGAATCTCCCCGAAGGCCCAGCTGAGGCACACGCTAGAGGTGGGCTGTGGACCGGGGGGCGGGGCAGGGCGGGGCTGTGGGGGGAGGAGAGAGGACAGCGTTTGAAAGGACGATTCTCACAGGTGTGGCTGAACCCTGTCTTCTCTCAAAGTGAAGCTCCACGCAGACATGGGAGCCACTCCCTGAGACGGGGCTCGGGGCCTGTGGTCTGCGGGAGGGGCACGTGGTCGCGTCCCACGCGACGGCGCCTTCACGTCATCTAAAAGGCGAGTCCGCTGGCCTGTAAGTGGGACACGTTTTGGACTGGAGAGAATGGAGTGAAACCTTTCACATTCAGAGGCGGGCTGGCCGGACCAGGAAGGCGAAAGCACCGCGTGAAGGGACAGAAGAGGGTCGCCCGCGAGGGCGCGGCCGCCTCCGCCCCTTCGGGCTGGTCACTGGGCTGAAAGCCGCGATGCCGCGACCCCTAGGAGTGCAAAGCCCCTCTTGTTGATTTCCGGGCATTCTGGGGGCGGGGAGCTTTTCTCTTGTGACCTCTGTGTCTGGGGACCCTGGACCCCCCACGTCAGCCTGCGCCCAGAGTGCAGCTGCCCCGGCAGGTCCCTGTGTGTTGTGGTGACCCGAGGTGCCTGGGCCATACAGCTTTTAAGAGAGTAATACATTTTTGGATTCTTTTTGAATCGAAACATAAATATATATATATATATATTTGCCATATAACATTGTGTAAGTTGAAGGTGTATGTGATGTTGATTTGATACATTCACATGTTGCACTATGACAGCCGTGTAGTGTCAGCTGGCCCCTGTCACCTCACGTGGTCACCGTTCCTTTTTTGTGGGGGAACAATGATGATCCGTCTCTCTGCGAGAGTCCCCGCGTGGGAAGCAAAGGCACCGCAGCTGATGGTCAGCAACGAGCGGGGTAGGGCCTCCCGCGGGACTGCCTTCCAGGGTCGCCGCAACTGAAATAACCTGAGGGAGACATTCCTGAAATCGCTGGCCACCAGCCCTGCCCCGAAAGGAGACAGGCGCCCGCTGGCTCAGTTTTCTATTCAGGCGTCCGGCCAACTTTGGAGAGAGTGTGGCTGGCTCTCCGTTCTTTCTTTGGCCAAAGAATTCCGGGTCTGGAGAAAATTTTTGAACCTGAATTTCCAAGCACACGCGCCTTGCAGCAGCGAATGCCCGACGGTAGAAACCAGTCTGACACCAGCCCACCGGGGTAAGTACAAGGAGAGGGAGGTCAGTGACCGCGGGAAAATGCTCGGAATTGGGGCGAGGCAGTTTCAGGACCTAACCAAGGGCGCGGAGTGTGTGCCATGAACTTCAGATCAGAAGGGAGGCGAGGCGCAAGCCCTTGTGCAGCGGGTAATGAGATGACAAAGCCTCGAAACGGCTGCTCGCGGGTCTTAATTACCAAGCGATCTGCTGGGTGTTTAATCAGCGGCCCGTACGCTATGCTAATTATTCTGGCTAATTTTGTTATAATGCAATTCTTTAACAACCCTGCTATGTATAAATTAGGAATTGAAATGTAACGAACACAAATTATATTTAAGGCAACATGAGTTTCTTTCTTTCAGTGTGAAATCTCCTGGTCTCTACTTCTTTATCTTTTCTTTCCTGATTAGCTCACGAGACCCCCCACCTCCTGCCCGCCCTGCCTCCGCCCCCCATGGCTGAACCACCGCTCAAGGGGTGGGAACCCACACCGCCGTTTCCCCCTTAACTTCTCAGAAACCTTATGTTTGACTTCCTCCTTCTTCGAATGTCCTAGAAAGGTGCAGAATGTATTTAAACAGTCAAAGGCCGGCAGACTCCGGCTGTCTCTCAATCAGGCAGAGGTCGCTTCATTGTGCGGCTTTAATTTTTAAGTCGTCATTGGAGTTTACCATGGTTCACGTATTTTCAGCGATACACGTTGTATGTGACTTACGTCAAGTAATGTCAACACGTGTGTTTAGACAGAGGACTACTAACGCAGATCCCTGTCGAGAAGCCTAAGTATTCTCTAGAATTTTTGGTGGCCCGGGGCTTGCCTCCCACGAGGAGGGCAGGCTGGCGCGGAGGCTCGGTGGGCCATAGGGAGCCCACAGGTGTGCTGCCCCCGCACGCCAGCCTCGGAGCTTTTTCTCTGCCCATACTCTTGGCCTGGAACTATTTTGCAGCAAAATAACAACGCCTGAGCGGATTCGGTGCAGGTCTAGTTTAGTCTTGGCACCATGATAGGACTGACTGTCAGCGAGCGCCCGTTGCCCGCGGAGGGTCATGGTCTGGGGACATGGTCGGTCCCAGGTACTCGGACCCTGCGGTGGCCTCAGGGGAAGGAACAAGCACCGTGCATGTCGAGAGGGACTCCGAGCGGCCATGGAATAGTTCTGCGAGATGGGTGTGCTTGGTTTCCGGAGCTTCGGCCGAGCTGCTCCTTTCACACACACAGCTCCCCGTGCATCGGCCCGGGGGCTCCCTTGCTCCTGTCCCACTTCCAGACCCAGCGGCGCTCCAACCGCATGGGCCACGCTGTGGCTTCCTGCCAGGCCGGGCCCCAGCGTCTCGTGCCACCCCAGGCTCCGCAAAGCCTCATTCGCGGCTCCGCGGCTCCCTGGCTCCGGACACAGGTATGTCTCCCTGGGGTCAGGAGCTTTTCGGTTTGCCCGAAGATTCCTCTGCGTTCCTTTTTAACACGTCTTTTTAGGCTTGGCAGTTGCAACCAGGACATTTGCGCGAATGTGTTTGCCGTTGTGCTTAGGGACTGGCTCGCCTTCCCGTCAGCCTGCGGCTGCGGGAGGCCACTTTGCAATGTGGCATCATTGCAACGGTCTTTACGGGCGGCTCCCTGTGCACCGAGGACACGGGGCCCCTTCATTTCCCTTGCGTTTTCGAAGGCCTGAGACAATGGGATGGGATGCAGGCAGGGACCAGACGCGATGGAAGCCGTTTACACGCTTGTGTTGTTTTTTCCTATAGGGACGTGATTTAGGAAGGCCAGGGATGGAATGTATGACGGGAGGTGCGGACGTTTTCCTTTAGTGTGACCATCGAAGACAAAAGCACAAACAGCCCGGGGCAGGCCCTTCTCCAGGTGCCGGGGCTACAGGGCACTGCATGCTCCAAACTCACTGGTGGGGGCGGTCCAGCCTTCTGGCATCTCCGGGCCGCACTGGAAGAAGAGCTGCCTTGGGCCACACATTAAATGCATTGCAACACCTAATAAAAAAAAATAATGTGATAATATTTTAAGTGAATATATGATTTTGTGTTGGGCCACGTGACAGCCAGCCTGGCCCGCACGTGGCCCAGGGGCCTCAGGCCGGATGCAGCTGAACGGATTACATAGTCTGCAGGTGTTGTGTCTGTGAGGTCGGTTTCCCTCAAGGCAGAGGCTATCGCCATCACAATGAGGCGGGGGACAGTTTGCTCCGGTCACGCTGCTGCTCAGGGGCAGGGCTCGGGGCAGGGCTCGGGGCAGGGCTCGGGGGCAGGGCTCGGGGCAGGGCTCGGGGCAGGGCTCGGGGGCAGGGCTCGGGGCAGGGCTCGGGGCAGGGCTCGGGGCAGGGCTCGGGGCGCACGCGGGCAGCCCGTGCGCTCTGGAACCGTGCAGTCCCGCTTCTCAGCCGTCGAAGCCCCATGGCCGAGTCCGCCCTCTGCGATCAGCGTCTCCCTCTGCCTTCCTTTCTGTCCTTTCGGTTTCTGTTGATCTGCAGTATTTGTGGTAAACTACGGGGCAAGGGCTGGAGGGAAGGGAAAGAGGCGCACGGTCTAAGGTAGGGGCCGGGGGCATTTGGGGACTTTGGGAGCAGCGCTCGGGTACATAGGAGCTGGACGAAGATGGAGAGGCAACCACTTTGACGTCACCTTCAGTTGCCGGACAGTGTCCCCTGATCAAGACGCCGTGTCGGGACGGGACCGCAGGGTCACAGCGTTTTAAGTTCTTCAGCTCATCACAGGTGTGGCCGACGTCAGCTGGGGTGACGGGGGAGGGCCTGTCAAGCCCAGTGACATAAAATGATAAACTTGCCTCCTGAGAATCAAGGTTAAAGTCAATCTGATGGGTCGGAGCAGACGGGGTCACGTGACCGCGAGGAGGCAGAGAAAATCTGGACAGCGATCTGCTTTCGCTTGTTCCTTCCTCCGGTCTCAGGTGGCCTGGAAACAGAGGACAAGGACAAGAACAGGGACAATTTGTGTCCGTGGTTGAAGCTGGGGCCGAGCACATCACTGTGACGGAAATCTTGAGGGGAGTCGGGGGGCAATGGGGAGGCGGCGGGCGGGGCTGGCCGGCTCCCGGCAGGCGTGCGGCGGCGGAGGGGCCGGTCCTGCCGCATCGGCAGGTGTGGGGTGCGGCCCGAGCCCCCCAGTGCACCCGGGGCGTGGGCCCCACGCCGAGCTGCCGGAGCCGCCTCACTGGGGGTCATGTGCCTGTTTCAGGGCGTGGCACCGTGCCACCCTTTTGAATGGTCACATGGTTAAAAGCAAACTAACCAACTAACAAACTAACCAAATAAACAAGAACCTTGGGAGAGACCTTCTGCCCCAGCAGCAAAGCTGCCTGGCATCTCCGTAGCTAATTCTTCCCAACGTCTGCACTTCCATGAGGGAAAAGCGGAACGTCTGTCTCCAAGGGTTAGCTCCGTCGCCTCGTCTATCTCGGTCTGAAGGCGCCGGGCCCAGACACACGTGATGGGCCCTCCTCTGCGATGGAGTCGCTGCAAGTAACAAGGAAGATCTGAGAAAATCTCGCGCTCACATTGCCGAGGAGCGCTCAGGCGACGGTCGTGTCCGCGACGAAGGAAGGATGGGAGGCCCAGGAAGGTTGCTCCGAATGGAAACCGCTGTCAGATTTCAAAGTGAAACGGACGCCGTGATCGGGGATTGTGGGAACCAAATCGG